AATAATTGAAAGTATGAAATGGATTTTGCAAATTATTATCGTCGAAACGATTTCATTTTTGCAGGATAATTAGAATAAACAATTCGTATAAATAATTACGAATAAAACGACATATTAAATTTATTCGACGCGCGAAAATGAGCTTTGATAAATTTTATAAAATTCATTTTTCCAAAAATTTGACAAATTTTTTGAAAGAAAAAACACGTAACGATTTCAAAATTTTCTATAAAAAAAAATTCATTTAAAAATACATTTTGCAAAAATTGAGATGAAATTATCGGATAGAATTTCACCTCGTAAAACTCGATCATCGTTGAAACGATAATTTTCCAAGATTTCTTTCCCCTAATAATAATTGGAATAATTTTTTCGACCAATGTTCGATTTCTACAAAGTTTGTCACCGATGATAAACTAATCTCTATGTCCACGAGATCAAAGATTAATAATTAAAATGATTATAAATTTCCAAGAGAAGTGACCTTCCCTTGATCTCGTTCCGGAAGAATTCTGGAAACGCAATTTTCTTAACCCTCGAGACCCAACGTTTCCTGTATTGTATTCCGTTCTCTTGAAATCAATGGCCTTAAGAGACATTTCCTCAACTGGAGGAGCTTCCTTTTGAAACTGCTGACACGCAACCGATAACATCTTCCATACTGCTTCACCATCTATTAGCTCCTTGTGATCCTCGAAGGGTGGATCCTCGATGAAAAAAGAAAAAAAAAAAAAAGGAAAAGAAAAGTTTCTAGTCCAATCTCGTCCATCCTTGGATCAAGAATCAACAACAAATTTCCCTCTGTTTTTCTCTTTGGATGGAAAAATTTCCTTTGAAAGGAAATTCAAAATTTCAAGAAATAAAATAAAATAAAATAAAACGAAATGAAATAAAAGGAAAGAATGAAATGGAACTCTCGATTTTATTCCTCGGGAAGAACAATTTTCCTTGGAAAAATGAGGATGGATAAAATGCAGAGAAGGTAAATTTTCCTCTTTCGAGAGACGAAAGGAAAAGATTAAAAGACGGGGATGGATGGATTGCGTATTTGTAAAATATCGAAGGGAATTTATTCTCGTTAAATTATCGCCTCCGTTCAATCCGTGCAACAAGAGTGATCGACAATTGAAATTATCGTTATCGCGGGATTTAAATGCCCCTTGGATTCGAAAAAAGGGGAAGGGAGAGAAATTTTACGATACATTTGGAAAAGATTGGACAGTGGAAAAAAAAAAAAAGAAAAGAAGAGAGGAAAATGAGATGTTTCCGTTGATAGCGAATGGTACAAGGAGAGAGAAACGCGAATAAAAATTAACTTTCCTCTTCTACAATCGAGATTGGCTTGCTTGTGTCGTTTCCCTTTAATCTCCGTGAATAAATAGAATAAATGAATAAATAGACGCTAACTGAACTAAATATTAGAGTGTTCAGAATTAAAATCAATCTTGCGGAAAGTTAGAATTCAGTCCGAGGAAGAAGTCGTGGGGGATTTTCACGCCGTGAAAATTTGTTAGTAAAATTAAAAAAAAAAAAAAAGTAGGATTAAGAGGTGTGAGATTAAATTAGAAAGTAAAAAAATGAGTAAATTTCACGAGAAATACGAGTTTATACACGTACAATTTAATAAATTAGAAATTATATATGTTCGTTCGTAGAAAAAGAAAATTGTCTTTGTGAATAATCGAAATCGAAAGAAATTCGAATCACAAATTATTATTATTATTATCCGAGGCGAGAAATCGTCAGGGATTAAAATTAAAGAGATATCAGATGGTGCATTTCGTAAATGGGATCCTCATAATTGGAGGATAATGAATAGCGGAAATGGATGGATTGTATTTGATAATAGGTTAACTGCAGGCAATGGGACAATTTCATAGTGAAAAGATTCACAGGCGGTTGCGTCCTCGTTTCTCATTTCTGACAGTGTTATCAAATCCTGCTACAACACGAGCTACAATTTAACGAATGGAAGTGTTACGTTGCACAATAGCGAAACCGATAGCTTCGGAAAATTTATACCCCGCGTTAAACTCCCATTTGTATCGTCAATAATTTCGCTGAAAGCGTTACTCGAGTTCGGCCGATCGTATAAAATGGGGACCGATTGGTTAAAGTCGGTGAATTTCTCTTCGACGACTTGGAGACGGGCAGAGCGAAGTGAAATTCGCAGTTGTCGACTTGAAACTTAGCTCCGGAAATCAAAATTCAAACGAAGAATCGCGAGAAATAACAAATAGAGAATCTTCTCCAGAGTCGAGAACTCACGTCGATCGTGAAATACCAATTTGTAACATTAGCGCAGAAACTCTGGGAGCCATTCATACTTGCACGCATCGATCCAAAACGACCCCGAGGTAGCAAACAAACTGACCAAGCAACGTTTCAACCACGATCAACAATAAAACCTTCTCCCAGGGCGCCATAAAATTAACTCGAGCATATCCGATCCGTGAGAGGCAAGCGATTGTTCGACTAAATCTCCGTCGTTTCCACTCGAAATTAAGTGGCTCGATGGGTTTTCGAGCGCCACACTTTGCCCCGTTTATCGAGGATCAGAGGAATAGAATATCTTAATTTCTGGAAGAAGTGGCGCATATCGGAATTAAAATTTAATAAAATGGGAGAAGTAAGGAATGGAACATTTTTCATCGGATGATTTTAGATTACAGATTATCTCAAGCCGAAAGATTTTCTCGTAGCAAGCGGATCACCCGCATTATACGCTCTTCCGGTTTATTAAATTCTCCCTGTGAAAACATTACAAGCATTGTCCATTTACGGCAACGTTATTATATCCTCTTACTCATATCTCCACGCATAACGCGCGCATCGATATTCTTCCAAATGGAACAAAAAACTAATAGCCCATTATTTCGAACCGTACATGGCGAGTTGCTCTCGAATATTCGAAATAACAATAAACCTGAAACCTAATCAAAAATCAAACCATCGATCTTTCTCTGGAATAAGAAACCAATAGCCCATTATTTCGAAGCGATTCGTACTTGATGGATTGCTCGAAATTTTCCCAACAATAAACCTAACCAAAAATCAAATTATGGATCTTTCTCTGGACAAAAAAATAATAGCCCATTATTTCAAAGTGCTTCGTACTTGATTGCTTTACAACAGACGTTCGAATATTCTAAATTCGTTCAATAATAAACCTAACCTGAAACCTAATCAAAAATCAAACCATCGATCTTCCCCTGGAACAAAAAACCAATAGCCTATTATTTCGAAGCGAC